AGCAAGGATGTAGAGAAAAAGAAACTACTGTTCCATTCTCCTGTTGGGAATGGAAATTGATTCTGTGGATTATGGAAAACAGTAAAGAAATTCCTCAAAAATTAAAAACAAAACTACCATATGATTTGGCAATCTCACTTGTATGTCCCAAAGACAATGAAAACTCTGGATCCTGACAACTGTAATTTTATGCATTATTTCAGCATTATTCACAACAGTCAAAATATTACAACAACTTAAGGGTCCATTAGTGGATGAATGGATAAGGAAAATGTGGAATACACAAACTGTTTTAGTTACCTGTCTTGTTTTGGTGATAAAATGCCCCGACAAGAAGCAATTTAAGGAAGGAGAGTTTATTTTGGCTCACGGTTTGAGGGTGTAATCTATCACAAGGGTGGGGAGGTTGGGGGTGGGGAGGGGGCACAAGGCATGGCAGGAGCCTAAGGCAGCTGGTCACATTCCAGTCAGGAAGCAGAGTGAGATGAATGCCGCTGCTCAGCTCACTTTCTCCTCTTCATTCAGCCCAGGACCCCAGCCCATGGGACGACGATACCCCCATTCAGTGTGGGTCTTCCTACCTTAATTAGCCTAATCTAGAAAAGCTTCTGGGCATGCTTGTGAGGGATTATCTCCTTAATGAGTCGAGATCCTGTCAGGTTGACAATATTAACCATCACATACATCATACTTTGAAAAAGGAAGGAAAGAAAGGAGGGCGGGAGAGAAGAGGGTATCCTGTCACCTGCCACAATATGGAGAACCTTAAGGACATATGGTAAGTGAAATAAGAAAAGTACAGGTGAAATAGTTCTCAGTGCCACTACATGAAGAATCTCAAACAATCCAGCTACAGAAGCAGAGTGCTAGCTGGCTACAAGGGTGTGGGAAGAGGGAGCTACTGGGCAAAGGTACGTTTCTGTTTCTGTTACAAACATAATCAAGTCCTAGAGGCCCTGTAAAGCAGAGTGCTTGCAGTTAACGATACAGTGTTCTATACTTAAACTGAGGGTAGCCTTAAGTATTAACACTTGGAGGCTATGTTATGTTTGTGGTACAGACTGTGGTGCTGGTGCGGCTGGCAAAGTAAAGCACAGGCTGCTGCCTAGTCACTTCACTCTGTGATTCAATCTGTACTTTTGGGAGGACATAACTAACAAATGAACATATTCTCACTTCTAAATACTTGACACAGAACAAACCCCTGATCACCCCGTGCCCTGGTTCTGGGATGACTTCCAACCACCACTAATAGGCTAGTATATCTCTATCTAGAAGTCTAGGTATCTTGGTTCAATTTAAACAAAACAAACCAGGCATGAACCACCACACCCAGCTACTTAAGTATTTTTAAGGACTTGAAGCAGGACCAGGTATGGTAACAAATTCCTTTAATCCCAGCACTCAGAAGACAGAGGCAGGAGGATCTGAGTTCAAAGTCAGCATGGGCTACACTCAAAGACTCCATCTCAACCTCCCTCCAAAACCAAACCCCCCAAAACTTATGCAAAGCCAGGAAAGCTTTTTTAACAATAAGGAAAATAACCTGTCATTATTCTTTTAATATTTTTATAAAGAATTTAAGTCTGATAACACAGGCCTGTAATCTCAGCTACTTGGGAAGTTGAAGCCAGGAGATAGCAAGCTTAAGGCTCCTGCAGGCTACAAACAAGTTTAAGACCAGCCTGGGTAACTTAGGAAGACCTTGTCTCAAAATAAAAATACATAAGGAGTTTGGGCTATAGTTCAGAGGTAAAGTACTTGTCTACTATATTTGAAATCTTGGGTTCAATCCCCCCAACCCAGGACTGGAAACGAACAAAACAAAGACAGCACACACACAGTGAGAAGTTCCTGCAAACATCACCTGAATCTGGGTGTTTCTGCTTCAGCTCCATGTCCCCCTTTGCTGCAACACTGTTAAGCAAGCACCAGGCTCTTAGTTCTCCCTCAAACTCTTTTTTTTTCTTTTTGAGACGGGGTCGAACTCACTATGTAGACCAGGCTGGCCTTGAACTCAGAAATCCGCCTGCCTCTGCCTCTTAAGTGCTGGGATTAAAGGCATGTGCCACCATACCCAGCATAAACAGCCCTTTCTTAAAAACTTCAGTGAGTTCTATCATTTTACATAATGTAGGTTTATAACAAAGTTGGAAAAATCAGGGACAGATCCATGCACTACTCACTTGGATGCTACCCCTCCTCCCCCCTCAACCCTGGCAACATTTCTAAATTTTGTGAAGAATCTCCCACCTGAGAATTAGCTGCAGACGATGGGCAAAAGTGCATTCTCCTCTGGGTGCCTTCCTATCCATCTCCTCCCGTGCTTCACATTTCCAAGTTACCCAAATACCACCTGCTTTAACGGGCAAACAAAACCACCTCAACAAGAGCTATCAAACATTCCTTCAGTGCTGATCTCCTGTGTTGCAGGGCTCAGCCAGGGAACGTGGCCCAGTGCAGCCACAGCCACAACTTGATGTCTTGGCCTAGTTTGACAAACCCTACATGGAAATTTTGGTAAAGGTGTTTCCAAGGTGTTCCTGGCCTCTTCCCAGGAGCCACTTCTGACCCTAGGATGATGACTGAAGTATACGCTATGATTTCGTGCTGGGGATGGAACCCAGGGCCCTGAATTACCACATACTAGTAAGCAAGCACTCTATACCAAGCTATATCTCCAGCCCTGCAATCAGCATTCAAACTGACTGGCCTTTACCATGGTTTCTCTCATGGGTGCAGAATGAAGGGAGCAGTCTCCCTAAGTGTCACCAACATTAAACTCATCCCACACATTCCAGAGGGCTCAACACATCCCATGAGCAGTAATTGTCTGTAATGGTTGGTTTTAATGGTAACTTGCCACAAATTACAATCAACCGACTAGGGAGCCAATTTAAGAAACTATCCTGATTGCCTTAATTGATATGGGAAGACCCACCTGAAATGTGAGCAGTATTTTCTGGTAGAACCCCAAATAAAAAAGGGCATGGTTCTAGAAGGAAGGGGACTCGTCTTCTGCTTGCTGCTGCTGCTGGCTCCTTCACTGACATGGAGCCAAGGTTTCTAGCCTGTCACTGAGTGAGGATCAGCAGCTCTTCAGGAACCTTCCAGGTGTTCAGCACCAGACTGGGATGGCTGAAGCACCCAGCCCCATGGACTGAGCAAGTCTGGCCTCTCCTATGTGAGACAGCCTCCGTGGGACTAATTCTGGCTGCTGAGGCATTCACCCACCTTAAGCACTGAGCAACTCCCAGGGTCGTGGCCTCTCAGGTGTGATTTAGCTGTTGTTATAATTGCAAACTAACCTGAAAATAAACGCTTTTAATATGTATTCATTCTGTCAGTTTTGTTCCTCTAGGGAATCATGACTAACTGTCCTTCATTAAGTCTTCCACTGCCGGTAAATACAAACAGGCTAGCTGCTGAAGAATCTAAGAATTAAAGGTTTCTTTAGCATAGTGGAGGGCGCAGTAAGGTACACAATAAATGCTGGCAGTTCCCACTTAGCTTACTTCTTTTTATCCTTGACTAAGAGCTGGGCCCTCTACCCTAAGCAGGTCTCTGCTCAAGTCATTAAAAGCAAAGTACTAACCAGGCCACACAGCACTTGCCTATAATCCCAGCTACTCGAGAGATCAAGGCACTGATACACAAGGGTTTGGAGCCATCCTGGCAACATGGTGAGACTCTGTCTCTTAAAAATAGAAAAACAGGCTGAGACTGTTGCTCAGTTGGCAGAATGCTTGCTTAGCCTGCATCGACTCCAAGCACTGCAAAAACTGGGAATGGCGGGGTACAACTGTAATCCCAACACTTGGGAAGTAGAGGAAGGAGGATCAGAAGTTCAAGGTCAGCCTTGGCTAAATAGCAAATAGAGGCCAGGCTGGGCTGCACGTGACCTTGTCTCAAAAACAAAACAAAGGCTGGAGAGAAGGCTCAGTGGTTAAGAGCACTGGTTGCTCTTGCCCAGGACCGAGGTTTGGTTCCCAGCACTGACATGGTGGCTAACAACCATCTATAACTCCATTTCCAAGGAATCTGACACCCTCTTCTGACTTCCAGGGGCACTGCATGACACAGGTACACCTACATACACACAGGCAATACACTTATACACATAAAAATAAACAAGATATTAAAAACAAAACAAGACAAACCTTTAGTCAAAAACAAAACAAAGTCTCATTCAAGGATGGAACAAAGCCATGGCAAGGTTACAGAGGCACTGCAGAAGGAACTAGATTCATGAGCTTTGGAAGCCTCTTGCGGTCCCATCCCAGAGCACTGAGCTCAGTAGGTCCCATGTCCCCTTATCGGTTCCTTTCACTGTACCTCAAGGCCTGTGCATGTCATCCACATAGCCACTACTAGCTCAACCATTATTTAGTTTGCAGGACACCATGTAGACGCCTGCCTTGTCCTATCTTGACCTGCTTCCTCACAGTCTTCCTCCAACCTACATGATGGATCTCACCACCAATCCCCTCTATAAATATGAAATACAGAGCCTTTGGGGACATACAGGGATGTGGGCATAGAGAAGCCATAAATTGGGAGAGGGCAGGGATGGGGGCAACCCTACCTTCCTGGGCTGCACTGGCCCTCCCTGTGTGGTGTCAGATAGGCCCATCTACAAGAGCTGGAGGCACATAAGTGGCCTTTTGGTGGTACCATGTCCCTTGTAAAAGTAGGGAAGATGCACCTAATTGGCAGAGGAGAGATCTTGTTGACACCGACAAGTTAGGCTCATACTCATATGGGTCTGAGCCTAAACCACCCAAATAAGTGCTACCAGGGCCCAACTCCCAATAGGATACCTACACCAAATCTTCTGGTGGAGATATGTGCTACCATTCCCAGCTTTAAAGGGACTGGTAACTCATCACAAAAACACCAGGTCTGAGTATGCGCCACAGCCATCAGGACCTCAACCCATGGACACTCCATGGGTTTCATCTTTCAGGTTTGGCCTGAAAAGACCATTGTGACCAGAGGCAGCTGGGCAGCATGATGACAGAGGTTTATTTAGATCCCTTCAGTCCCCACTTGAGATTAGTGGGCCTGCATGTGACAAGTCCCTGCTCCCAGATTCCAAGTCCACATCCTGACTGGCCAGCGGCTCATTCAGTGCTCAGGAAGACCCTCTTGCGGGCAGTGTTGGTATACGGGTGCCAGCGCCACTCTACATCTGCTGTGGCTTCCTGCTCCAGTGTACCCAGGCGAATCATGTACGCTAGGGGTAGAGGACAGAGATGTCATTCCATGCACAGTCCCATGTACTCATTTACCTCCCCGAAGCATGGACTAAAGTCCCAAACTCACGTTTCAGCTCAAAGCGAGGCCCAACCTCAGTGAGCTCCACATTGCGGTGGTCTGTCTTTTTGTACACATGGTGCCTGAGAAAAAGGGAGCAACAGTGAGAGTGGGAGTCAGTAGCAGCTATGATGAGTTAAATGACACTAAGATCATGATGCCCCAGGTCCCAGTCGAGCCCACAGACCCACCGGAATGAGATGTAGTCATCCTGGTTTGCAAATGTGATGACCCGGTGGCTGTCATCTTTGGGCACAGGGAACAAGTAACGAAGGATGTCAGACACCTGGGGCATAGGGAAGGAGAGTTAGAAGAGGCTTGTCTGACCCTCAGCCCTCCCCTCAAGGCTCCCAGACTTACCCGCTTGCCCAGGCGGGAGGAGAAGCCATGAGTGATGAGGTGAGGCTTAGCCTCTGACATCGTGCCCAGGTCAGGGATGTCGTGCCGCATAACCACATTGCACAGTGTGAAGTAAGCAGTAGGGCCGAAGGGCAGATGGCTGACAATGAGCCCCACTGTGGGGCAGAGGCTGTCAGACACCCTGTCATCAGAACTGCCCTACCCCTACTCCGTCCCACAAGCCTTACCAGGGGTGCCTCGATGCTCATGGACAACCAAGAGGTCGGTGACCCCATTGGCTTTGCAGGCTCGCACCAGCGCTCCAACCTCATGCCGGCCTCGGTTCATGCGCTGGGCGCCTGGGAACACCAGCTTCAGTTCCTGCCACGCACAGGTGTCACATCAGAATTTGGGCCTGGCCTTAGGCATCCCCTACCTTACTTCCTGTCCACCAGTACCTTGGCAAACATCTTCAGGCGAGAACTGGGATCCCGGGAGGTGGTGATCATGATCTTTGGATCCTCGACCCCAGCCCATCGGTATTCATCATCTACGTGGCTAGTCACACCTATGAGGAGTACAAGAGACAAGAAAAATGCTGTCTGCTGAAGGGAACCTTCAATGATGGAAATACACCATACCCCAGTGGCCAGGAGGGCAGCCACTAGCTTACTGGCTACAAAGCACAAATGAGGAATGGAACAATCTGGCAAAATTCTAACTGGAGGTGAGAGATTCCTTTTTCTCACACCAAATATTCATAATGTGATTCCTTTCCTGTTTGTTGAATAATGCAATGATGAGACATTTGGGTGCCAATGACATGCTGGGTGTCGGGGACACTGTTTTGCTCCAGCAGACACACCAGTGAGGGAATGAGTGAACAAGGGTAAGTTCATGCTACCATGTGTGTTGTGTAAATAGAACTAGAAGTTTTCATTCAGGGAGAACCCCTATGATGCCATCTAGACAAACAGGTAGGCACCTGGGGATGGGCTCAGAAACAGCTCAACTGGACACTTTCATCGGGAGGGAAACTGCACGGTGTGATGAAAGGGATATGGAGTGAAATGGGTATGGAGTGAAATGGGTTCAGTGTGGATGAGGGCTGTGTGCACAGTTACCTTCACCACCGGCGTCATCAAACTCCAGGGAACGCTGTAAGGCTAGAGCCTCCCGGCGTAACTCAGTGGGAATCAGCTGGTTTTCTGCAGAAGAAAGACAGAGGGGCTATGTGAGATGAGACACAGGCAGGGATCCTTCAGTTTATAGTCTACTTTACTAGCCTGCTCAAGTTTGATGGAAAAACCCCTTCTTTCTGAACAGAGGCAATACAGAAATATGGGAGGGGGAGAGGTAACAAACCAACCACTTAATTTTTTTCTGAGACACAATCAAGATGCTCCTGCCTTGTCCTCTGAGTATGGAATTACAGGGTATGCTACTACACCTGGCTACCATTTTTCATGTCATTGTCAACTTAAGAGTCACTGGGAAGTTCATTTTCTAAAGCACTTTATCATTATCTCAATGTATTATGTTTATAGCCAGACAAAAAATTTTAGAGCAACTTTAGAGCTGGGGTATAACTTAATGACAGTCAGATTGCTTGCATGTATGAGATCCTGAGGAGTACCACAAAAACAAAATCAGACTGATTTTTATGTAGAAAGGTAGACTAGTGGTCTTCAGGTAATAATATGCTAATCTTGATGTACAGAATCCGTCATGGTGCATGGTCTGACCTGACTATGAGAGAGATTTTTTGTGTGGCTTAATGTGAGGCAGCAGAGGGGCTAAGCTGTGGGGTGCCCAATCTGGAATGGGCTTGAGCACCCCCATCACACCATAAGCTCAGTTCTGCCCCCAGCATGCCCAGAGGAAACCTGCACATGGAGGAGATGGTCCACAGCAGTAGAACTCTTCCTAACCACCACCAACTGCAAATAGGCTCACGGGAAAAGGGCTATCTCTAGGGAGAGCCACCAGAAAGAACTTCCAATCATATTGATGGACACCCCCAAACAAAAATTCACTGAAGAACACAACACCTAAAATACCACCGGTAGACATAAAACCCTCTCCTGTGCTGGGATTAGAGGAATGGGCTACCACACCCAGTTTAGTCAGTACCAGGATAGAATCCAAAGCTACATAACTTGTCCTAACATTATGCTTCTTAAACATAAACAAAGACACACACACACACTTTATTTATTATCATTAAATTTAGGAACATCAGGTGTTAGAGAGACAGCTCCAACACCCTCTTCTGACATCCACGGGCATCACATGACACCGGTGCACTTACATACATACAGGTAATACACTTGTATGCATAAAAATAAAGAAAATATTTTTGCCAGGTGTGGTGGCACACGCCTTTAATCCCAGCACTCCAGAGGCAGAAGCAGATGGATCTCTGTGAGTTCCAGGCCAGCCTGGTCTACATAGTGAGTTCCAGGCCAGCTGGGGCTACAGGGAGACCCTGTCTCAAAAAGACAAAGACAAAAACAAAAACAAAAACAAAAAACAACAGTCTGAAGGTACAGTTCCAAGGGATCTGACACTCTTCTGGTCTCTACAGGAATTGCATGCATGGGTACATTTTCATATATGCAGGCACATACACATACAAATAAACAAACAAGTAAATAAATAAAACCCTCCAAACTTAGGACCATCAAAGTGAATTTAGTCAGAGGTATATTTTAGCTAGGAAGTATAAAGCTCTGTGGACACAAGAACCAATAAAACAGGAGTAAATATGGTATTTCCAGTTAAGCTCTGTGATCAGGATCATCATTAAAATAGAAAATGCAAATGTGGAGAAAAGAAATGCAAAATGAGACTCAACTTGTAAAGCAAATGAGAATTATATTCTACAAGGAATAAGAGTTTAAAAATGTACCCATAGCTGGGCATGGTGGCGGACGCCTTTGTTCCTAACACTTGGGAGGCAGAGGCAGGCAGATCTCTTTGAGTTCAAAGCCAGCCTGGTCTACCTAGTGAGTTCCAGGCCTGCTGGGGCTACAGGGAGACCCTGTCTCAAAAAGACTAAAAAAATAAAGTACCCATGAACTCTCCACAGTACAGTAGCCTAACAAGATCTGCATGATAAAACCAGCTGACATACCAATGTGGATGGGGGACATCTCACAGGGGTCCCACCTCTAGATAAAGAGCTACAGACCATCAATGGATGCAGAGGGAGAATCAGTTTTCTCCTGGGAATAGCTTCCTGATAGGTTATCCAGTCCCAAGTGGTCAGCCCTAAACACATGTACAGACAAGTACCACTAAACGGACTCAGTACACTGTATATATGTATATGTAGAGCAAGAAATTGAGGGGGGTGGGGAATGGGAGGAACTGGAGGGGGAACTGGAAGAGGTAGAAATGATGTAAATACAATATTCATGTATAAAGTCTCAAAAATTATTTTAAAATGCAAGCAATCATACATAGCAGTGCCTAAAAGGCAGAAATTCTTCTGAGTTTGCACTGAAGAAGATAGCAAGAACACCAAATATTCTCGAAATGGGCTGGGGGTGTCAATCAAACCAGGTAAAAGTTAAAACTTGGGAAAACCTAGATGTACTGTAAACAAAATTAACAACCTGTAAAACTTGGTTACTGCAACATAAACGGAATACTATCATATGGAAGGACCATTCACAAACCAGTAAGAAGTCTTACCTCACAGGCAAAGAACGCAGCCAGTAGATGCTGAAAAGATGTTCAGCCACGCTCACGAGCAGATCAAATGCGATTACAGCACTGTACAGTATGCTCGTTTTAACGACTCCTACCCCAGCAGGATCAGGTGGTCTTACCTTCAAGCGCGCGCTTTACTCTCTCCTTCTTCTCTTGGGCAGATCGCTGAGCCTCCTCGCGGGCCTTGCGATACAGGTACTCGCGGCGCAGGCGAGCTTCCCGGCGGAGCTAGAGAATAGGTCGGGTCACCATCCGCCCCCGAGCACCCCAACCCAGCCCTCCGTGAGCCCCCATTCCAGAACAAGAAGGCAAACACCCTACCATGCTGAGCGCCGCATACACACGAGTCTGGAATCAGTGGGCGTCCCCTGCACCACGCCCGCTCACATCCGCCCTCAACCAAGAAGGCCGCGAGGGCTTCACTAGCGTCAAATGCTTTCCAGAATGCCCCATGTAAAAATGTCAGACTGAGGGCCTCGCAAGGCGACTGGTCAGCCCGGCAGCCAACCATTTAGCTGGATTGGAATATCACGTGGTTTCTGGCAGGCCTTAATTTACCCACCTGCGGCTTTATGGCAGCCGCTTCGCCAAGTGTGAAAACCAATGACAGGGTGGATGACTTCCAGGAATTAAGGAGAGACTTTTCAAATTCGTCTGATTTTGGAGGCGATTCGGAGACACCAGCGGTTGGTTGGTTCACTTCAGGCGACAACCCACTAACCCGCATCCAGCTTCCGGGTGGGCCCTGCCGTTGAAGCGGGTAAATGGAGCCTGAAGCCGTTGATTTCCGGGCCACGATTAGGAACGCCCCCTGAAGGCATTTATTGGCTACCATGCACGTGGGCTGGCGGTGATTAGGCGGCTTGGAGAGAGGCGGTTCTATCCACCCGAGCCGACTGTGGCTGGGCCATGGCGTTCCCGGCCCTTCGCGCGGAGCTGGACTCGCAGGTCCTGCAGCTGCTCGGCGACCTGGAGGAACTGGAGGCCAAGAGGACGGCGCTGAACGCCCGGGTGGAGGAGGTGCGCCCGGAGAGGGAGGAAAAGAGGGAGCGAAGGAGGGAGGGACGGACGGTGGGCACCCGGAGGGAACCGGAGTCTCAGTTCTCGTGTCGCCCCAGGGCTGGCTCTTGCTCGCCAAGGCTCGCTACGCCATGGGCGCCAAGTCTGTAGGACCCCTGCAGTATGCCTCGAGAATGGAGCCTCAGGTCTGCGTGCGCGCCAGGTAAGGTGCCCGGATGCTGGAGCGGGTGGGCAGGACCCAGGCTCGGGTGACCAGAGGTCCATCCTCTCTTCTCTTTCAGCGAGGCCCAGGATGGACTCCAGACCTTCAGGGTGATCAAAGCTGACGCCCAGACCCCCGAGGAGGTGGGGCCGCACGAGGCTTGTGAGTCCCCCTAACTCCTCCGGTCAGCCCTCTTGCTCAGTGTTAAAGACAAAACCCACAGAACAGTGATAGAGCGCGTCTGAACTGGACTTCTATAGGGAGGTTTCCAGAAGTTACAGGTGGACTGTTTTATAGTGGGTCATTTTGCTGTCAAGGTCTCAACAGAACAGAAAATGGGCTTCTCTGTTTCCGGGAAATAATCCTCTAATCCTAACTAATCATTCCGGAGACAAAGAATAGGGAATTTAGGCAAAATGGGCAAGGTCAGTGTGTGTTCTTGTTACAGGCAAACGGGGTCATCTGTGGTTCTGGAAATGAGGAGGAAGAGTAGACAGAGGGCCACCTGGATTACAAGGGGGAAGGCTGGTACTATTTCCAGACACTCAGGTTGAGAGATTTTTCAACCTTCATTGTTTTCCAGAATCATGAGCTTATGTTGTCAGCATTGTCACCATGACCATATGGGTCAAGTAAGGCCGAAGCCTGTAACTTTTCTTTCTCCAGCTCTGCGTAGGCGCAAGGGTCCTGTCAAGACCCCAGAGTCAGAGTCCTCTGCGGCCCCGAAAGATCCCCTCAACTGGTTTGGAATTCTGGTTCCTCACAGTCTCCGGCAGGCCCAAGCCAGCTTCCAGGATGGTGAGTGGACGCTTTGTTGCCCTGTATTGAATTCCAGCCCTCTACCCATAGGGAGCATGTGAACACTAATGTCATGCGACGGCTTTACAGGTTTTCTCCAGTGCAAACTTTGTCGCATACCTGCTGGGGTTTGTGTGTGTGTGTGTGTGTGTGTGTGTGTGTGTGTGTGTGTGTTTTCCCTCCATAGCATTCACTGGCTGTTGGCAGTATTCTTGTTTCCTGTTAGCTTCTAGGGGATACAGCAGGAGGACTGAAAATGGAATGTTCTGTGTAGGAGACAAAGAGAATGTGAAAATAGATAGGCAAACAAATAGACCTTTACAGTAATACCAGGCTCGGAATATTACCATGAGAAAAGTAACATGAGAAGGAGTGGCTAGGAAGATGGGTTAGGAAAGGTCTCTCTGAAGAGAGGAGGGAAGAACTTTGTTGAGGATCTGGGGGAATTGTGTTCTAGGTAAAGGAACCAGGGCAAAAACCATGAAGGGAGATAGGTGTGGTGTATTGGAGGAAGGGCAGAGAGAAGGCCAGAGAGCTGGGGTGGAGTCAAGTGGAGTACAAGGAGCTGAGAACAGGGAGCTAGGCCTTAGTGACGCAGGTTCCCACAAGGACTTTGGAGCCACAGGGCTAACAGAGTAGGGCTAACAGAGTAGGACTAACGAACAAGAATCCTTTGGGTGCTAAGTGGGGCCAGCCTTGAGAGCAGAGAGAGGATGCAGGTGTCAGAACCAGCCAGCCATGAGATGTAGGTAGAGGCAGTGGAGGTGGGGCAAACAGTGGGAATTTGAAAGTGAAGCCCCCAGTGTTTGCTAGGAGATTGGATGCAGGAGGAAAGGAAGGAGAAAAGTCCACTCAGAACACCTAGGGTGGGGCTGTCCTCACTGTAGTGGTAGAAGACTTACAGGCAGCAGCTGAAAAGAAGTTGAGAGGTGAGTATGGATGGATTCTTAGGGGCTGTGCAGTTTCTGGGTGGTTGGGCACATGCTTCTGGAGTGTCAGGGCCACCTGGGCTGGAGAGAGATTTGGGAGTCCAGTGCATGGTGCCAATGTTTAATTTCCCAAGTTGCTGAAACAGGTGCACATAAAAGCCCAGATGGGGTTGAGGTGAACTGAGAGCCAGGGAGTGTGGATGGAGGTACTGGGGAGGAGACTGAAAAATAGCTTCTAGTGTGGGGTATCCTAGAATTGGAGAGTTTTGAGAAAGTATTACCTGGAGGGATAGGGCAATGAGTGATGAGTCCTATAGCCAGTGGGAGGGTGTAGACAGGAATACCTGACCCACCAGTCATGTAGAAGTGGATCCAGAGTATGGATCATGCTCAGGTACAGAGAATAAAGGGTAGAGGGATAGCAGGGAGAGCAGACAGGGAGTGCATGCTGGAAGAAGGGAGGCCCAGAGATTTTATGATCATTCCTGGTGAGTTCAAAGGGAGTCAAGGAAGGTTTTTGAGATGATGGTTTAGCACAGGTGAGGTGCTAAGGAGGTGACGATGTGGGTCCACTGATCATACCTGAAACATTTTAGGAATAGTGTTGAGGCCAGAAAGGCCTGAAGCCCCAGCAGTCCCTGAGCGTGTCCATGCATTATACTGCAATACCACGGTGACATTCCTCTTCTCTCCCCAGGCCTGCAGCTGGCTGCAGATATAGCTAGCCTTCAGACTCGCATCACTCGGGGTCAAAGTCAGCTCCGGGGCCTCCAGAAGAAACTGAAAGAGCTCGATCCTGGACCTGCCTGATCTGCCTGGCCTGCATCCACTGAGGCAGGCACTGAGCACAGCGGTTCTTGGTTGTCACTGCCTCCTTACCTCATGCCTTTTTCCTTCACAAATAGCTCCTGCCTCAGCTAATGCCCCTCCTTAAAATGCCCTTGGCCTATACTGTTTCCAGCTCTTAGGTATGACGTTTGAGGAGCTTGTATGAAACCACTTCTACTCTGTGTTCTAGGACCCCCTCTGCTGGGGTCATGTTCGAAGCTGTTAATGTTAGTGAACAATTGAACAATCTTATCAGGCAGCTGGGATGCTGAAAACTGCACAGACAGTGGCAAGGAAGAGCGGGAGGCTGGAAACTAAGGACAGACTGGGACAGTTCCAGTCAGTAAAATTGCCTCTAACTGGGCATGAGGGTACATGCCTGTAGTCCCAGCAACTCTAGAGGCTGAGACAGGAGGATTATTTGAGCACTGGAGTTAGAGACTAGCCAGCTCAACAGAGACCCTTTCTCAAAAATAACAAAGGACCACACATACACAAATACTGAGTAGACTGGTAGCAAGGCATAAGCCCCTCCTGTATTTTACTTCTGTTTAAAAAAAAAAAAAGATTTGACATCATTTCAAAGGCATTGAACTTAACTTTAGCTAACAGCAAACCCCTTATCTCCTGAAGTCGTTTTTCCTCATCTGGGAACTATGTTCTTGCTTCACTTTTCTGAGTTAACTTTTGAGCAGTTTCTGGGGGCTCTCTGTGTTTGAGGGGAATGCAATTGTTTATGAGATGTAAATTTTTCTTTCCAGTTTGTTAACATTGGTTATATTGGTTTTTCAACTTTTTATTGTAAAATAAAACATCAAAATGTAAAGAATAATCAAATAATGAATAAAGTAAAAACTATAGTAACTGTTACCAACTCTTGTATTTACTTTTTTCTTCTTTTTTATGTCTCCCTATAGCCCCAGCTAGCCTGGAACTTGTGATGTAGATCAGGCTGGCTTTGGTTTTACAGAGATCCACCTGCCCCTTCCTTCTAAGTGCTGAGATCAAAGGCTTGCACTACCATGCCTGGCTTTTTTTAAAAAAGGATTTAATTTTAAAAATTATATGTGTGTACCTGCATATGGGTATGTGCAGGTCTACCAGAGGGTTAGAGTTCCCTGGGGCCAATGTGAGCCACTCACAACTGATCTGTGTCCTCAGCAATAGCAGTGTGCGCTCTTAATCCCTGAACCTCCTCTCAAATCACTCTTGTATTTCCTTTCATTCAAGTTTTTATTTTATGTATATGAGTGGCTTGCCTGCATATGTCACATGTTGTGGAATGCCTGCAGCAGCCAGAAAAGGGCATGGGATCCTCTGGAACTAGCATTAAGGATGGGTGTGAACTGCCATGTGGGTGCTGGGAACCAAACCCATGTTCTCTGGAAGAGCAGCCAGTGCTCTGAACCACTAAGCCATCTCTCCAGCCTAGTGTTGGTATTTTTTTTAATCGATTTTTAAAAGTAGAGTTAAATTTATCAATCGGCTATTATATTTCTGGATTTGGGGTTGTATTAATGCAATAATGAAGGAATTAGCTTCATGAACTTGTGTGGTTTCAGTTGAGGTGCCCAGATTTTTTTTCTACTGTGTGACACAGGGCTGGTCCCCTCCCCGATCTGAGCTGCCCTCCCTGCATGCTCCCCACGTGTGCTCAATTGGGGGCTGTTTTTATGTTTTATAAAGCCTTACAGTCCTTGAGTGCACAGACACCACGCATTTTAATTCTTGAGCCTTTTTACTTTAATGCTAGTAGGGAAAATTTACACTTGTGTTGTTTGGTTTAGTTTTTGGTTTGTTTGACCACGGCTTGAATTACCAGTGAGATGGAAAGAGCTCAAACGAAACTATAACGAGGGGAAAAACACAGATGTGCCGTCTGGCCTCCCCACAAAGACTGAGTTTAACATCCTGCTCCAGCAAAGCGAAATCTTGAAGTCCCCGAGGAGAAACGCAGTTGTTTGAGCCCTGATGTTTCCTGGAGGGAGACGTCTCGGGATCACCGATCTCGCTGGCCCGCACTACAGATTCTAGGTCAGGCGGGCGGAGGCTGGGACCGCGGAGCTGGGAGTGGCCTGCTCGGGTAGGAGCGAAGCTGCGCCCCTCCTGATGGGGTAAGGTGAAGACCGGGTGCTCCCAACTTCTGCCCCATTTCGGCTTGGAGAAGGTTCCATCCTCAGGCGTGGCTCCTGCACCCTCAGTCTGCCGGGTGGGTCCCTCCCAGATTCCACCAAACCGAGATACACTGTAACAGGGTGGATTTAGGCAGGCGGCAGTGCTGTCGTAAGTGACATAGGCGACAAAGTAGGTACGCCAGCTAGTGGCTCCCATATGGTCTAGCGGTTAGGATTCCTGGTTTTCACCCAGGCGGCCCGGGTTCGACTCCCGGTATGGGAACATATCACTTTTGGCTTCATTTCCCAATGACTTCATAATATTGGCTGAGATTTTGTCTTCTCACCACCGCGGTGCCTATTTGGGCATTTCCTCTCCACGTCAACACTGTGTGTGGACTAATGTGGCCTTTTCCATCACAGCGTTAGCTAGTTGCTTGGCCTAGTGATGCTTCTTAAATTAGATGTCATTTCACACACCTGCAGTACTATAAATATTGAAGTCATGAATATTTAACATTTCAAAACACACTGTCGGTTTCCGACTTGAAGAGCACAGTCCTTCTGCTGGCCTGGAGGGAGTGCTGGAAGAGGAAGGAAGTGAGGCAAGGGCAAAGAAGTGTTTGATCTCTTGATTTTCTCACCTGAAGGCTTGACCCTTCTCTCCAGTACAGAACTGACTCTAAACTTTGATTTTCTGGGATAGGATCTCACTATGCATCCTAGGCATGCCTCTAACTTACCATCCTCTGTCTCTGCTTCGGAATCACAGGAGTGCACCACTGGGCTCAAATTCTTTTTTGTTGTTTTTTAAAACAGGGTCTCCCAGTAGCCCCAGCTAGTCTGGAACTCGCTGTGTAGATCAGGTTGGCCTCAAACACAGAGATCTGCCAGCCTCTGCCTCTGAGTCCTGGAATTAAAGGCGCGTGACACCACACCCGGCCTTATTTAATTTTATGTGTATGAGTGTATTGCCTGCATGTAAGTGCATCCGTGCAGTGCAATGCTCTGCAGAAGCTAGAAGAGGGCCTGGAATTCCTCTGGAATTGGAGTTACAGATGGTTATTAGCTGCCATGTGGGTGCTGAGAATCAACCCCAGTCCTTTGCAAGAGCAGCCAGTGTTCTTAGCCTCAGAGCCATCTCTCCAGTCCCTTGAAGTTATTTCTATAATTATTATTTTATAATTATTTTATAATTATGTATTGTATGTACATATAATTATACTAATTATATCAACATTGTTGTATACTATAAAATAATTTTATATTATAAAATAGCGTAATGTGGGCTGGAGAGCTTGTTCAGTGGTTAAGAGCACTGACTGCTTTGGCAGAGCCCACATGGTGGCTGGGAATTCCAGTTCCAGGGGACTGCGTGACATGGGCGCACTTTCATATATACATTCATGTACATAAAAGGTATAAATAATAAATTTTTTAAAAAAATAAAATAAGCAGGGTGTGGTGGCGCACGCCTTTAATCCCAGCACTCGGAAGCAGAGGCAGGCGGATGTCTATGAGTTCAAGGCCAGCCTGGTCTACATAGTGAGTTCCAGGACAGCTGGGGCTACAGGGAGACCCTGTCTCAAAAAGACCTAAATAAATAAATAAATAAATAAATAACATAACATAACATAACATAACATAACATAACATAAAGTAAGAAATAAATACTATATAAATAAGTACATTATCATTTTAAGCCCATTAGGACAAGTCTGAGCTTGGCGGCACCTGGTAGCTCAGCATGTGAAGCTGGTGGTTGTTAGGACCCTGTGGTCTGCAGAGTCAACTTTCATGTCACAACCAAAAATAAAAATAAAACCCTAGGACAGCCACCTCCTGCCACCATGCCTTCCTGCCATGACGGACTGTAATTCCCCTGGCACCATAAGCTAAAATAAACTCTTCTTTCTATAAGTTGCTTTGGTCAGTGTTTCTATCACAGCACTAGAAAAGTAGCTAATACACTTTTTAAGGCTAAATAATATTCTATGGCTCTGCCACGTTTGGCTTATGTTGGAGCTGGTAGACAGTTTGTTTGCTTCCTTTGGGTGTTGTGAAATAAAGCTGCTGTGAAGACAGGAAAAAAAAAAAAAAACACTAAAGAAAACTCCTTTTTCCTAGCAATCCATGGACCTTTCTCTAAAATTGATCACATATTAGGAAGCCACACAAGTCCCAACAAATATAAGAAAACTGAAACAGTATCTTACATTCTGGCTGAACATATGGAATGCTAGGTCCCAACAATAAATAGAATACAAACAGTATACAACTCATGGAACTTAAACAGCACTATTGAATGATGAGTCAATGAAGAAATAAAAAAATAAAAAATTTCCTAGAATCCCATAAACATGAAAACACAGTGTAAAAAATAGAGATACAATGAAGGCAGTTCTAAGAGGAAATCTAAGTATATCAAAATATCAGATAGTTTTCAAACAACTTATTAAGGCCTTGGAAAACAAGAATAAACCAAACTTAAATGATGCTATACAGCAGTCCCTTCTGCATGAAATGACTACCATCATCACGGACTTTGGCTGAGCCTGATCGCTAAACATAGTCACAGTTGGGCTTGTTGACGGTTGTGCTCATTCATTAAAGGAGTGCCAAGCAGGGTCACTCGACCCTCACCTGAGTATCCAACCACTCTTCCCAGCCACCTAATCCAGCCTTGGAAGACAAAAGAAAAATGAGGAAGAACCCAATACAGGGATGCTTTTGGAAGCCCTTGTCAAGAAACTCCAGTGGACTCTCATATGAATATTTGAAATTTGCCCTATTCTGACTTTTTTCTAGTTCCCTGTCTAGAACTTGTAATGCTTATTACTCTTGCCTTTACTTCTCCTTCACATCTCCTATTCATGATTCAAGGACTTTCTTCTTCTCCCCTTATAGACAAGAGTTATGCAATTTGGGAGTCTTTTAAACAGACCCACGGAAGGGGTACTCCAATTACCTCACCCTGTGTCCCTGTTCAGCATGGAAGAAGCCAGAGCAGTCGGCATCCCTATTCCCTATTGGCAATTGGGGTAACCCCTTCAGAGGATGGCAAGATAAGAATAGGAGGTAGGAATTGGCTCAGCCGTTAGGGTAAAAAGATCCCAAAGAAATGTAGCCAGTTTCTTGGCTAAAAGTCAAAATGTCCTTGGGCCTGTTAGCAACATACTCTGTTCCAAAGGCCAAAAATGTCAAAAGTGTTTGGGAGCTTGTATCTAATCTTTAAAATTTTAGGGTTACCTCTTCAGAGGGGGGAATGTTGGAGGGGAGGGCATGGGCATGGATTTGATCAAAATATCTTATATGCATGTATGAAATTCTCAATAAAGTTTTTGTAAAAAACTTTTTAAAAAATCAGTAGATGGGGAGAAATAAGTAGTTCAGGGCAGAAATGAACTAGAAATGAAAAAATACAATCAATGAAATGAACCCACTGTTTCTTTGGAAAGATAAAATGGTTGAGAAATTATTAACTGAAGTAACTAAAAGAAGGCTGGAAACGACGCAAGTCAATAAAATGCATACCACTGGAATTCAGAAAATCATAAGGACATAAAAATCTGTATTCTAGAGCTGGAGAGATGACTCAGCAGTTAAGAGCACTGACTGCTCTTGCAGAGGCCTGGGTTTGATTCCCAGCACCCACATGGCAGCTAACAACTCCATTTCCAGGGGATAAGATGCCCTCTTCTGACCTCTGTGGGCATTGCATGACACAGGTGCACTTACACACATGCACACCAAACG